ATCCATATGCCAAGCTGACTAGCAAAAGTGCAGTACAACAAAACATAATCTTTCAAAAGCATGAAACCACAGCTTATACAAACACAAAGTAAGCATCAAAAGAAGGACTCCCTTTCCAGCAAGGCCGACACACCTGTAATGAGTGAGGCACTCAGGAGGCTGAGGCAGAGTACTCTGATTTCCAGAGGAGGCTACACAGTCTGCCTCAAAAATCTAGAGAAGAGGGAGGGAGGGTAGGTTCAGGAGGAGGTGAGGGAGGGGCCATAGCCGGGATGTAAATTGAATAAATTGTAATAGATGATAAAATAATAAAAAAGAAAATATAAATAAATCAACACAAAACAAAAAAACAAAGAAGGAAGGAGGAAGGGAAGAAGAGGAGGGAAGGAGAAACGGGAGGAGAGCAAGGGAGGGAAGAATAAAGAGTTGGTGACAAAGCCAGTGGTAGAATTTAGGAAATGTAAATTCAGTCAACTCCTCAAAGGGCCACTGAAACTGGCTGATGACAGCTGAGAATGATTTGATATCCTAGAAGGTCAGAAACCATATACTTTGGGTCATCTTTATTGCTTGAGGAAAAATACATTTGATTGGGCAAAATGCTACATGTTCACTGGGTGTCAACTATACACCCCAACAGTGAGGATAAAAGAATGGTCTAATAACATTTTTAGAAATGTCACCCGGTTTTATTCTTTCTAAAGTTTTGAATATATTTATGTACACTTATATAAATAGATGACATGTAATAAAATTAAGCAACATTTAATGCCTTAGGATACAACAAATTATTTTCTCCTCAGAAAACTTGTCTATGTAGTAGAGGCAGACATGATTTCCTTTAGGGGAAGTGCATTGAAAGTGCAGGAATATCCTTGAAGTTGTGCATCAGGAAAAGAGCTTGGTTTAGGGATTCCACAGAACAGAGCACAGTCGAGCGTAGTCACGCCTGTCTCCTTCTCATGCATTGCAAAAGAAGTCAAGTGCAGCGCAGCTCTGCTGGGAGGCCAGAGCTTAACTCCTAGCATGGCCTAAAGCATCTATAAATTACTTCTTCTCTGTCCATCTGTAACCAGTTTGCCTTTCAGTTTGATATCACACATCAGATCTTCTATCCCAATTTGTATAACAGAGAATAAGAAATGGCTGACATGGTTACTCATCACACAAAAGTTAAAAAAAACAAATAAACTTGTATATCATCTATGTAGAAAGTAACTAAGATAGATGAAATGGTAGCAACATCTACTATGTGTGTGTTGTATGTACATGTGTTCTGTATGTATGTGTGTGTGCATATGGTATGTGCTCGCATGTTTCTATGTATGGTTAGAAGGGCATATGCCTTGGTATACATGCGGGGAGGTCAGAGGATGACCCCGGGGATCTGTCTTCATTGTGCTGCTTTGTGGCTCACTGTGACATATGGCAGGCAGGAAGCTGGCCTCTGAACCCCTGAAAATGCTCTTCTTTGTGCCTGTCACTATACCACAGGGAAGCTCATATTACAGTGGGTGCGCAACCACTGGAGTTTTACAGGTTCTGGGAGTACAAATGTTCGTCTTCCAAGTTTGGGAAAGTTCTGTATCCACTGAGCCATCTCCCTAGTCTGCAAGCATGAGGTGCTCAAATCCCGAGCACCTATGTAGAAAGCTGGGGGTCATAGTGCACACCTGCAAACCTAGACTTGAAAGTGAGAAACAAGAGGATTCTGGGAACTTGCTCAGCATCGAGCCATATCAGTGAGCTCTGGGTTCACTGAGAGAAACCGTGTCTCAAAATATAAGGTGAAGGGGAATTAATGAAAATATAAGGTGGAGAGGAAGAAACCCAAAATTAATATCTGGCCTTCACGCTTAGGTATACATATACATGCATATACCCCTATATACATATTCACACATTTCAAGACACACACACACACACACACACACAACAGGATGACTTAAAATATGTACACTATTTGCTCTCTCTCTCTCTCTCTGTTTTTCCAAGACATGGTTCCTCTGTGTAGGCCTTGGCTGTCCTACGCTAGCTTTGTAGACCAGGCTGGCCTTAAACTCACAGAGATCTGCCTGCCTCTGAGTCCTTGAGTGCTGGAATTACAGGATTGTGCCGCCAGCCTGGTTGGAGTATTTTCTTAGTATATACTTTATAGTCTTCTCTGAAGATTTGGGATATAGAGAACAATTTAATGTGCTGACAGTAATATATTCAAGGAAAATACATGCCTGACTAAATAGCTGTCCAAAGAAAAAGCACTTTTTAATTTTAGAAGCTTGAAATCTTGAAGAGACTTCAGACATGATTAAGTAACACCCAGAAAATGATCTTAAATTTCTAAGGATTAATATGCAGAGAATTGCAGAAATGGGAGGTGATCCAAGGTCTACTAATTCACCTGTAATTTCTTTAAAGGTTAGATCGTTGAGCCAGTGGCTAAGGGATGCAGAAAACTAACCAACAATAACTGTATCACGTACTGGCATTCCTGATGCCCCCATTGAACACATTCTAGAATAAATACAATTAAGATGCAGGATCTTTTTTTTTTTTTTATCTCTACACCAGATTAAAAAAAAGAGGCACACAGTAAGTTATCTCATCAAATAAAAATAAATAGATGTGTTGGTATATTGCATTTGTATTTACATTTATTCTAAAACATGAAGAGAATTGTCTAGAGCAGCCAAGTGTTGCTCTTGCATGGTCAGTCCATTGTTCAATGTTCAGCTTTATCTGGTTCTGTGGATAATAAAGTCTTGCAGGATAGACGATCTTCCTTACAAGCTGTCCCATGACTCTGATAGCTTTCAAGGTACAACTTGAATAACAATGCACCTAGGCTTCTAGTAGGCTGTCTGTCAGTCTTTCATTTATATTGACAAAGAATAAGAAATTTTCTAAAGTATGACGTTTTCAATAAGTTTTTCCTTATTTCCAAGTTAGAATCAAAGAAAAAGAAAAGAAAGACAGTTCTGATATCCAAATGAAGATTTGACGAATCCCCAGGCCCAAAACGGAGTGGAAGGACAAAGGGAAAAAAGGAGGAAAAAGGCCTCTTCTCACCCTCATGAAGGCCGAGGGTAGGAACATGGCGCTTCCCACGCCCAGGCTTCCCACGCTTAAATAGATGAAAACAAACAACCTCAAAACAGGGCCCTTAACAGTAAGCAGGGCAGCTATGGCTTCACACAGCCTTGTGCCAGGCCTTGGCCTTCTCCCACCCAGACCCTTGACACATCTCCATCATTCTGAAAGAGACTCTACCTCCAAGGGGTCTTTGCCAGTAGGCCTGGGGAATTTAATCTTAAATCTTATCTTGTTCATATCCCTCCTTCAGTGAATGTCCCTGCCTTCTTCTCCCCTACAGAGCCAGATTTCCTATGGAGGGGTGTGAAATGATCAGTGTCACAACAGGGAGGAGGGTGGTGGGGTAGGGTGGCAAAGAAGTCTGGCCCTGCGGGAGCCTTTCTACCTCATCTGTCCTTTCAGCATACCTGAGACAACATCACTGGCGTAGAAAAAGGGGAAGGTGATGACGAGGAGCTAAATCTGTCACTGGGATTGCTGAGACACTGCTCCTGGCTGTACAGAGACTTTGTTTCACACTCTGTCTCGAGAGGATTTTTGATGGAATTAAGCTGTCCACTGACATCTTGTAATGGCTTCTCTAGTTGCTACTTCCCCAAGGCTAGCTTCTCCTTTGTCATTCATACAGGTTTCTTTCTTCCTTTCTTTTTCCCCTCCTTGTATATGTATACGTGCATGTGTGTGTGTATGTGTATGCATGTGTTTGGGCTGACCATTTGGGTTGGCCAGGTGATGCACTCATCCCTTCCCCACGGTTTAATAGCATACAATATTAAAAGCAGGACTCCCTACATCTTTCATAGACAGGATAAAACATAGGGCTGAACCTAAGTGTGTAGAGCTTGTGTGTTTCAAAATCAATCCCAACTGCTTCTGGATTTGAAACACAAAAAGGGCTCCTTAGGTTGATAATGTGTGTGGCTCAGCCCAACTTCTCCCCAGGTGATTTACTGATAGTCACGCTCAATCTCTTCTTCTCACTGTACATTTTGGGCCTGCTCTTGGGTAGGACAGGTGGTTCTGTCTCTGTGGTCTACTTGGGTTGCTTGTGCTACTTGTCCCTGAAGGGCCAAAAGCTGGGGTGACCTAGAGTAGCGGAATTGCCATCCTTACTGCCACCTGCTTTCTTAGGTTTCTTGTGGTAAAGGTCAAGGTATCTGAGACTACTTGCTATCTTTGGAAATCCTCCCTCTATCAGAGGGACAGGGAGGAGATGAAGGAGGGTGGAATTGGGAGGGAATAAGGGAGGGGGCTACAGCTGGGATACAAAGTAAATAAACTGCAATGAATATAAAAAATACTTAAAGGAAATCCCAACCTAGCCTTAGCCTTGATATTTTTCTTCCTTCTTGTTTTTCCATTCTTTGTTTTTTTCTCTCCTCAGCTTGAGCTCAGATACTGAGCCCTGGCCCCAGAGGAGAAGGAGCTCTCCCTCTACCATTCTTACTCTGAGATGATTTGGCCACCTCAGTGGTTAAAGCAGTAGAAACTCATAAAGGTCCTGTTCCAGTGGCTGATCTGTCACCATGGCAGCAGGGAACACAAACACAAACCACAACATTGTCGTTTGGGTCTGCATATGTGGATTGTACTTATAGCAATTGGAAAGTATAAACAGCACTTTTAAAAATAAAATTTCAAAAGGGCTTTTGCACTAAACCATTGTCTCTCCATGTTGTAATAACTCATTTTATATTGAAGTTTTTTTTTATTAAACTTCTCATTCAGCCAGTTGAACTCTTTGGAAAGCAATTATTTCTGAAAGCACACAACTGTTAATGGGAGTGGTAAAAATAATTATAATCTAATCTAGATCCTGTTTATGAACAATTTTAGGAATGTCTGACATCCTTGGGATGCACACCAATTTATTCATAATGGAATAAAAGCTTGGAGACATTACTCACGCAGGCTTGATCGTATGAGCATGTTTCTCATGGACGAAGGCACCAGCCAGACCCCCAGCTCCCGAATTTAAATACTGGAAAAGAAATGAAATTGTATGGGTTTACTTGAATACGTAAAGGAAATAGAAACACTGGTTTCATTTCTAAGCCCAGAACTTTTGACCCATTCAAAATGTATGATTATTTAAGATTTTTGTAGAAAAACAGAATATCGGGGCTTACTGTTAAAAGAAAAGCAAACAAAAAATTATTACTAAGTTGAAAATATGTGACTATATTATTTCCATCAAATTTTATTCAAATTATTGAAGTAGGAGAGGAGGGCAGAGTGGGGTTCTGGAGAGCCTTGTACATGTTAAAAAACCTTGCTCTCTCATCCTCAACTGACTGGAGCATCAGCAAAAGGCTGGTATCTAAAAGTAACCCGTGACTCATTAAAATGCCAGTATACACCTCTTGGGGAAGACATAGATGCTCAAAACACATTCATGTGATGCATGAAGATGTATATAGAACTACTTTTAATAGACAGGATGTGCATAGAATGCTGGAAACAAAACAAAACAAATAATCCCAAAACTTCCGTCCTTGGGGCAGAGCACTGTTTGAACTACTAAGCTCTTTTTGTTCTTGCACTCTTCCCATCTTTAAAAAATAACCTTTTTCTAACACACAGTTTTATTTCTGCTGTTCTTTATGTATCTGTGTCTTCATGTACCATGTCCTTCCTCCAGGACATGAGAATCTGAAAACCTCCACAGGTGCTCATAGAATGCCCAGTATCACTCACAGGTAATAGTTAAGGTTTAACAGATTTCAAAGCCTTTGCTCAAATGCTCTGTGTCAAATACTTGCTGTCTAAGAAGTCCATTTATATATGTAGACATATTGTAACTTAGTTTTCATATACACAAAAACTAGAGGCATTAATCAGTATGAATTAAGCTCTAAGTGTGCAACCTGTTCTCTATACTTAATATGTTTTTATATTAGCCTAACGTTTAATAAATAAATTTTCTATAGTTGTAGGAATAATAGAAATAAATAATTTTTAATGTTACTCTCTCATCTGATGTCACTATTTCCTAATCAGAAAACACAGGATTGGCAGAAATAGAACGTAAGTTGCAGACCAAGCTTTTTATTTAGATTGAAACCAATGTGAAATAAAAGGATGTCATACATTGCTTAGTTTCTACCTTGTAGGAACACCAGCAGGCAAAGTCGACACCCCAGTCATGTAGGTGGAGTTCAACATTTCCAACTGCATGTGCTAGATCAAAGCCAACAAAGCAGCCCTAGAGAAGAACATATAAGGCTTCAGTTTGTTTACTGAGTGGGAACAGTAAGGACAAGTATCTCAAGCATTTTGCAATGTGTTGAACAGTAACAGTTCCCTCTGTTGCTCCGCCTCACAGCACTGGATGCATGACTCCCACAAACCTTTAGGCAGCCCTCTAGACCAAAGTCATCTTCAATATTTCCTTCTTCACTATGTTGTCATTTACACTTTTCATGCAAAAATGGGGACAGGAATGAAACTTCAGGTCCAGTAGGAGAAACGAAGCACTTCTAAAATGGACTGCTTTATTGCACTCAGTACAGAGTTTTTGTGTGGGAGATGCATAGGGGTTGCTTAAATTCTATTTGTTAAAAGTATTAGCAGGGTAATAGGAGGTTCCCAGCCACAAGAGACTCAGAGATTCTCAAGGACACCCGGGCTGCATATCCAATGACACTTTTCCTGCCATGCAGTATCATAATAGAACCCACCAGATACAGAGAAGGATCTGAGACCTTTACCTTTCAATTCTGTGCAACTGTGCTCACAATAAACCTATAAGCATTCTTTTTATTATGCATCCCCCGTATTTCCCTTACACTCATGCGCATATTTGTCATGATTGTCTTGCTTTTGTTTTTTTCTGGTGCTCAGCTGCTCTTAGGCTGTTGTTTATTTTGATCCATCCAGATTACTCTAAGTCATTTTAGTCTAGTATACTCTAGTCTAGTCTTCTATTGTGTCACATTTCATATGCCCTCCATTTCTCCCCATGTCTATTCTTCCTGTTCTCATTCTTTTGCCCCTATTTTTAACATATTAATTATAAACTCCCATCAGCGTAATAATCTCTAAATTCTGTAGATCTTAACTGTATCTCAACAGTCCTTTCCTAGCAACTTTACCTACCTTAATTTCTTTTCTACAAAATTGATCTAATACTTAATGCTTTTTACTTACTTACATCACTTCCTTCCCTCTTTTAACCATTTTATCTAAAATCTAAGTATACTTCATGCTATACTTGGTTGTTTATCTTCTAATAGACATTGAGGCCTATGGTAGTATGAAAATTACATAGTGGTAATACCAAAGAAGTCTGTCTGGTCATTTCCCCAGTTAATGTCCTACTGAGGGAACCATACAGTTTATGCCAGACATTTGGAGCTCCAAATATGAAGAATTATTTTCTGAACTACACATTCTACACTTCTTTATGCAAATTCTGCCTGAACAGTACAAACCGTCCAACCAAGAGAATATAGTTGATAAAAAATAAACCAAGCAAAGAAGTAATGCCAAATACATAATTTCCAAATGCACTAATGAAACATGAAAAATCAAGACAACATGATTCTTTCAAAAGTTATTACTCATGTAGAAATGACATCTATTAAGAATGAGTTAGATGAACTCTTAGACAGAGTACTCAACATAATGATTATAAACATGTTCAAAGACACAAATAGCCAAACAAAATAATGAAGTGATAGATGGTATGAAAGAAGACTTCAACAAAAAGTAAGAAATACTGAAGAAAAACCAGTATGAAATACTGGATATAAAAATCATAGTAAGTAAAATAAAAAAGTAAGTAAAGTAAGATTAAAAAGTGGCAAATAAAATAAAATTTTAACAATGTCTCAGCAATAGATTTGACCAAGGAGAGGACAGAAAGCTGAGTGTGAAGACAAGGGGAAGAGACTAGAACAATCCAAGGACCACAATAAAACAGTAATAGTTAGCATCCCGAGATGTATGAATCCCCTGAAAAGACCAAAGTTACAAGTTGTAGGCATAGGAGTAGAAGAAGAAACTTATTCTAGTAGTACAGAAAACTTTTTTTCTTAAAGTTATGATAGAAAAATTTCCAGTATTAAGAAAAGAGATGCCAGTGCAGACGTACAATACATTTAAGGCAGAACAGAACTTCCTTTCATCATATTCTCATTAGAACATTTTATAAATAGGACAAAGAAAGTATACTGAAAGCAGCAAGAGAGAAACGCCAAGTCATACATATAAAGGCCCATCAGAATAACAGTAGATTACTCAACTAGAAATTTAAAACTTATAAGTGGATATAAGACATAATATAGGATAATCATACTAAAATCTGTACACCTAAAGAAGCTAAGTAAGAAGGAGGACCCTGGGTAAGATGATCAACCCTCATTCAGAAAGGCAAATGGAATAGACATCGGAAGAAGGTGAAAAATAAGGAACAAGACAGGAACCTACCACAGAGGGCCTCTGAAAGACTCTATCCAGCAGGGTATTAAAGCAGATGCTGAGACTCATAGTTAAACTTTGAGCAGAACACAGGGAATCTTATGAAAGAAGGGGGAGATAGAAAGACCTGGGAGGGTCTGGAGCTCCACAAGGAGAACAACAGAACCAAAAAAATCTGGGCCTAGGGGTCTTTTTCTGAGACTGAGACTCCAACCAAGGACCATTCATGGAGATAACATGGACCCCCTACACAGAGGGGGCCCAAGGCAGCTCAGTCTCCAAATGGGATCCCTAATAAGGGGAGCAGGGGCTGTCTCTGACATGAATTCTGTGGTTGGCTCTTTGATCACCTTTCTCTGAGGGGGGAGCAGCCTGACAAAGCAATAGAGGAATACTATGAAAGACAGTCCTGATGAGACCTGATAGGCTAGGGTCAGAAGGAAGGGAAGGAGGACCTTCACTATCAGTGGACTGGGAAAGGGGCATGGGGTGTGATGAGGGAGGGCAGGCGGGAGGTATTGGGACGGGATGATGGTGGGGCTACAGCTGGGATACAAAGTGAATAAATTGTAGCAAATAAAAAATTATTTAAAAAATACCTAGAAGTTTTTGGAATAGTGTATTTTAAATTCTGAACGATAACAACTGCCTATCCAGGGTACTAAATACAGCAAAGGTAATGATCATAATTTAAGAAAAAAGTAAGAACTTTTGTGATAAAAATAAAGTGAATATATTTATGGCTACTAAGCCAGTTCTACAGAGAATACTTAAAAAAAAATCCCACAGACTAAAGAGAAACATGAATACCTCCATGAGGCTACAGAAAGGAATAAGCCATGAGAGAATGATACTAAGCAACAGAAGAAAAAGAAAAAAGCAATACAAAATCAGCAGGATGGCAGGAATCAACACACAACTTTCAATAATCTTGACTATTTGGTCCTTGTGGAGCTCCTATCCTTTCCACATCATACAAACTCCCCCTTATTTCATATGTTTCCCTGCACTCTGCTGAAGGTTTGGTTATGAGTCTATATCTGGGCACAGGGGTCTTTTCTGAGACTGACACTCAACCAAGGACCATGTATGGATATAACCTAGAACCTCTGTGCGGATGAAGCCTGTGGTAGCTCAGTAACTAACTGGTTTCCCATAGTAAGGGGAACAGGGACTATCTCTGACAGAAACTCAATGGCAGCCTCTTTGACCTCCCCACCCCCCAAGGGAGGAGCAGTCCTGCTAGGCCACAGAGAAGGACTTTGTAGCCAGTTCTGAAGATACCTGATAAAACAGGATCAGATGAAAGAGAAGGATATCCTCCCCAATCAGTGGACTTGGGAAGGGGCAGGGAGGAGATGAGGGAGGGAAAGAGGGCTTGGTGGGTGGGAATGAGGGAGCAGATACAGCTGGGATACAGAGTTAATAAAATGTAACTAATAATAAAAAAATAAAAATAAAAAATCTTGACTATTAATGGTCTAAATTCCACTCTGAAGACACAGTCCAATAGATTGGATAAAAAATCATGTATCATATATTTGTTGACTCCAAAAACAAAAACAACAAAAAAACCCACACCATCTCAGCAAAGTACTGTCTTAGAATGAAAGAATGGAAAATGGTATTCCAAGCAAATGGGCCTAAAATGAAGAAGATAGTGTTGCTATGCTGTCTGGTAAAATATAATTTATACCAAACTACTGAGAAATATAGGACATTACTGCTTTAAACATATATGACTAGATATAGCCAATTTCATAAAAATAAGTACTACCAGAGACAGTGTTACAGATTAAATCTAGCACAATAGTAGAGGTAACTTCAATACCCTACTCTCATGACCTAACGCTTAAAGGTCATTCCCTGCAAAAAATTAAGTAAATAATAAATACATGAGGGAATATCTGAATTAAATGAAAGCATAGATAACAGATATCTATAGGACATTCAGTCCAAAAGCTGCATATTATGTATCATATATTAGGGTACAAATCAAGTATAATAAATACAAGAAATTTTAAATAATTCCTTGTATTCTACCTGACTACAATGCAATAAGACTACAACAGCAAGAAAAACTCCAGAACCCACAAAAACATATATAGAGATCAGATATTATACTATTTAACACTAAGTCCTTGAATAAATCAAGAAAAAATGAAATTATTACTAGAATTAAATAAAAATGAGAACACAATATATCAAAACTGATGGAGGTGAAGTTTGTAGCTCTACATGCCTATACTAGGAAATCAATTGGTTTTTGTTGTTTGTTTTGTTTTATTTTTTAATCTTTTTTTCTTAAAAGGAGAAAGAACATGAAGTTGGGTTGGTAGGTGGGGGAAATCTGGAAACGTCTATGGGAGAAAAATGTGATTGAATATATTTTAAAAATTAAAGCAAATTAAAAATGTAAATAAAATGAAATAAATGAAAGGCAAAGAAATAAGCGGGGGAAAGAAGGAAGGAAGAAAGAAAAAAAGGAAGGATGAAAGAATAAGAAGAAATATCAGAGAGGCCTCATACTAATAAATTAATGCTGCAGTCAAAGTTCTGGGAAAAGGAGAACAGCTCAAACCCCAATTAGCAGAGGAAGAGACGTCATTAAGACCAGGGCAGAGATTTGAGAAATGAAAAACAAAATAAATAACACAAAGAATCAATAAAGTGAAGAGGTAGCTCGAGGAGAGATAAACAAGATTTATGGGGACTCAGTCAAACAACCAAATAGAAGAAAGAAAAGATCCAAATCAAGAAAATCAACAATGAAAGGAGAGCCAT